GGTACTATCATAGAACAGGAATTAAAAGTTAAAAATCTGGGTATGGGCCAGTGAGATGCTTCACTGGGTAAACACTCAAGTTAGTTCCTGGGAAATGATGTGAGGAGAAAATAGACTCCAGAGAGCTCTACTCTAACTTACATACACATGCCATGACAAACAGACCCCCTCCTCATGCACAAGAAAGAATGAACTGTTTTAGAAATTATGATTTATTTTGAGTTAGGGTCTTACTATGTAGCTCTGGCTGGCCTGAAACTCACTTTGTAGATCAGGCTGGCCTGGAGCTCACAACAAACAACCTGACTCTGCTTCCTGAGTACTGGGATTCAATGCCCAACTTGGACAGACTTTAAATTTATCTAAAGCTTAATCACGTGTTAGATAGTCTTTTATAAGTAATATATGCTTAAAAGCAGACTCTGATAGATTATTTGTTACTGACTGAGACATACCATGCTCAAGAAGAATTTAAAGAATCTTCTAGCTTGATAGACAATACTTGATTGATTAAACCAAAAGTTAAAGCAGTCTTTAGACTCTAACATATTAATTAACTCTAATATGTTAATCAATCAGTTAATTGACTCTAATATATTAATAATTAAATTAGTAGTCTCTAATATAAAAAAGAGAGTTTTTTCGCTGTTAACATGTCTTTTCCTATCTCCGGAGTATTATTTGCCTCAGAGAAGGCTTCCAAGTCTTCCTATTTCTTATCCTTCTTGGCTGCTGTTGTATATGGCATACTCTGATGTGCTCAGCTTTCTGCCAAAGAATCCTTTATTGCTAAGAAGCTGAGCGAACAGCTGACTTGATTCATAGCAGCAGGAAACTATCTTCCATATGAAACAGCTGTTAAGGATAGAAGGCTTATTACTAACAGGGGGGCAGTATGGGGGCACTTTATAGAGTGTTAGAAGAGCACACCTGTACTTCATTTTGCAAAAAGGAATCTGTGCATGCACAGGTAAGTAGCCCAGAACACACACACTACACACTGCTAACCATTTCTGTACTGAGTTAACCTTTGATTTAGATGTAATCCAGAGGGTGACACATGAGGAATTCAAGACTGGGTGGCCTTGACGTAAGAGACAACCTCATACACAGAGAGAGGAGGGGATATGGAAAACAGCACCAACACCATAAATCTCTGAGACAACACTGACCTCCTTGCCCAGAAGGGCAAGAGTAAACTATGAAACCATCCACTGCCTTTCTTTCCCTGCTCTATATAACCTGCTGGGAAAGACAGATCTTTGGGATGTCAATCTGTTGTCTTCTCAGATTGCTGGTTCTCTGAATAAGACACAGTTTTCCGATTCAATTCCTAGCTCTGTTCACTGGATCTTGAAAGTGATACATAGCATGGACCAGTTTTCCAGTTCACTTTATCTTCCACCATACGCACAAGAGATTAAGGCAAAGAATCCACAACTCACAAACACACAAGTTTCAACCTTATACTAGTGTTGTGTATAGGGCAATATTAATTCACTCCAAATTCAAAGCAGGTAATACTCTGATTAGTGATAAACACATGAAAATCTAAAAGGAGTGTACACACACACACACACACACACACACACACACTGATATACACTTGCACACACACTCATGCACACATGCTCACATGCACATACTCACTCCACTGTGTTCCTCTGGATGTAAATCCAAAGGGGATGAGGACACAGCAGACCCCAGCACATTCACTCACCCGAATGTGACTCCTCTGATCTGCATATGCACAATGAATTTTAGTGTGAAACAAACGGTTTGCTGCAACCTTTCTCTTGGTTTCTTCAGGCCTCATCATTCTAGCCACTCAGCTACAAACCACGTAAACTGCTATCACCTACTTAATCACAAAAGAAAACTTTAGAACGTTTAAATAACACAATATTTTATTTAAAAAAAAAAAAAAAAAAAAAAAAAAAAAAAAAAACTCTACCAAGAGGGAAGCATCCAGGCAAAGCAATCTGCTTTGCTCACAATTACACAAAGAAACCTCCAATCAAAAAGCTAAATACTGGGGCTGGCGGGATGGCTCAGTGGTCAAGAGCCCTGGCTGTTCCTGCAGAGAACCTAGATTCAGTTCCCAATACCTCCGTGGCAACTCCACCTTAAGGGATCCGAAGCCCTCTTCTGGACTCCACAAGGAGCAGCCACATACGTAGTACACAGACAAACAGGCAGGCAAAACACCCATACACATTAATAGAGAAAAAGTTAAACACTAAGCTTATTACATACATGCTCATCTGCCAACGGAAATTCAGAAACTGCCTGACAGGGGCTTAGGAGAAACAAAGACACTCTGATTTATGGTGATATTTTATTTGTACTGAAATGTGATTTTAATTGTATGTTAATAAATAAAGTTGCCCTGGGGTCAGAGCTATTAGAGCCATAGCAAGAGCGTGGTGGTTAGAAGAGCTAGGTAGATTTCTGTGTGTTCATGGATACAGCCAGTATTGGAGACATACGCCTTTAAGACCTGGAGGGCGGTACTTACAGGCAGTGACGAGGCAGTCATGTGGTTGGGTCTACAACCAATGAGAAGCCAGAACAGAAAGACTATTTAAAGACAGACAAACAGGAAGAAGCTCTCTCGGGGAAGCTAGGAGCACTGCAGGAGGTAAGATTTTAGCTCTGAGCTCTGACCTCTTGGCTTTCTCTTTTACATTGGCTCTGTGTTTCTTATTTTAATAAGACGATTGGTTACATCTACACTGATTGCATAGGAACCTCCAAGAGTTCTTGAACTGCTGTGCCAAAGTACAGGACAAAGACCACATGCTCCATTACACAGGACACACATATGAACCACAAATACTTAAGCCCTTTTCTACATTATATTCTGAATAGAACAGCACTGTGGGTACAAAATTGAGCACATGAAAAGGTTGAATTTGACCCAAATATTGCAATCCTGGTTGAGGGCTATATTCACATAATTCTTCATATTACTGTTGTCATCATCATTACTTCTATTATGATTATTACCGCATGACTGATTGTGCTCGTGATCTAGGGAACTACATTATTAGAAACACCCTCAAGTTTTAATCCAAACAAGGCCTTCAAAATTCCCACTTTTTCCCTCAGCACTGTATACCTGAATTTATCAGTAGAAACATCTGGGTAGATTTTCCTTAAGTGTATCTCCTTGCTGTAGGCCTGTGATCATTGACCTACCCCAGCCTGGGCCAGCACACACCAGTTCCTGATTCTAACCCTAAAGACATGATGACCTCAGAGAAAAACTTTTCTCTAGTAGCCAACTGTGGAACCCTCCATTTGGCCAGGCTCTCCTACCGTCCATTTGCTCCTGCTTGTCCTTATTCACCACTGTTTTTAACTCCCTACAAGAGACACTCCTCTTTAGCCCAACCATCCAGAAGCTTGTGAACCTACCACGCAGGGCTTCATCCTATTGCAATACTCCATTCACACACAGTCACGGCCTAACTCGATGAAGATTCTTCATGTGAAAACAACATTTAGAGGGGCTGGAGGCTCAGAGGTTAAGAATTCCCAGCACCCACATGGTGGCTCACAACCATCTACAATGAGATCTGGTGCCCTCTTCTGGCATGCAGACATACATGCAGGTAGAACACTATACATAAGTAAAATCTTACAAGCGAAACAATGTTTAGAAACAACCCCAGGCCAATAACATTATGATAGGGATCAATTCGAACAACCTGTGCACATGGATCTCTGAATTTTCTTGTGAGTCTGGCAACGTCAGAAGGACTTGGAAAGTTGGGCATTTGTTTAGAGTTGTAAGAATCCTTAGACCAAGGAGAGAGGTCATGGGATTTAAAAGAAGCTGAGACTCACAGGAAAAGCAGATGCCAGTGAAATGAAAGAGACAGGGTACAGAAAACAGAGTGGGGCTGCTCTGAGTTACTGCGTACTGTGGGCACTACCAGCTTTCTGGCTGTGCCAAGCCTACAGTGACAGCTCTGCACTGGTTTATTCTGAGTGTCAATGTCAACAAAACACATAAGGCACAAATTGATAACTTATCTCAATAATGACACCTGAAAATAAATCAAATCATTAAAAAAAAAAAAAAAGCCCACTAAAACTAATTCATCAACGTAATCAGATGTAAACCCTGCCTGAGACTATCCAAAGTGTAACTGGCTCACAAAAATGTCAAGGGACAGGAAACATACCACAGGGAAGGACCCCTGCCTCAGCACCAGGACTCCAGATCCAGTGCACTTTCTCCTGCCACGGACCTCAGCTCACTTCCCACAGCCCTCCCAACAGCCTGCGCTCGGGACCTGCATTGGACATCTCTGAATCCTCCTTGCTAAGTCTTAATCAGTTCACTGCCTCCGACCTGAGGAGAACCTCTCATTGTCTTCAGCCTCTTTAACCATTTCCTAGACATTCAGTAACCTGCACATTTGTATATCATTGTGAGAAATGTTCATGTGTAACCTGCCTGCCTGTTGACATTAGTGGTTAAGATTGAGATAAAAGAATCACTGGTGCCAATGGCCAGCTCGCAAGGATAGTCGTGTACTCGTCAAATCGTAACCAACCAACCAAACAAACCGACAAAGGCTGTGAAATGACTGGTTATTGAGTAAATTGGGATATAATAGTATCCTACTTTTCTGACAACGTGCACAGAACCTGGGATCACCACACCCCGCGGCTGTTCCCCTCCCCCAAACCCCCTCGCGCACAGGAGCCCTAAACCAAGTATCCCCACGACTCTCCGCCTACACCGCCCAGACTGCAAAGACGCGGACGCCCAGGTAACCCGAGACGCTGCGGCACTGGGCGCTCAGCAGGGGACAGGACCGCGACTGCGCCTGCTGACCCAGCTCCACCCAGCGGGACCCGGGCAGCGCTGCCCAGCGGAGCCCGGTGAGTCACAGACGCCCGGGGACTCGGCTGCCCGGGGAGGCCGCGTCCCCACTGTCGCCTCCGCTTGCAGCAGTCTCCTCCTCACGCCCTGCCGCACGCACCATTTTCAGAGACCGGGAGTTCTGATGTCCTCCTGAGACTCCTGCAGTCAGACAAGAGGATGCAGATACCGAGGGAAGAAATCTGGGGGCCTCAGCCAAAGACACAGGACGACAATATGGCGGGGACACACAATGGCACCCCAAATGTTGTGCGGCCTCCGTCACCGAAGACCAAAACTCCTCATTGGACAGTTCACACAGCCACCAAATGTTCTCCCTGATAGGCCAACAATCTGTGCGCCCGCCTCCTGGATCCTGAGTGGCAGGGGCAGCATCTCCTTCCTCGCAAGTTGAAGTCATTGCGAGCCCCAGCAGAAGATTTCACAGCTGGCCCTGCTTACTCTGGAGAGCACCTGGCCCTACCTGGGGAAAACTGCATTTAAAGCGCAGATTAACCTGGCTTTGCAGATACTTACTCAGGGAAGAAGTCCTGCTACTTTTTTCCTTAAAGTGGGTTGCCGGTGACCTTAAAGAATCTCACATTGTCTCTGGCGACCGCTCATGTCCTCAGAGAAGACTGCCTAAGGCAGTTCAGAAATCTCTGGGATAGACCAGAGGGCCTAATATTATCACCTCTCAGAAGTGGGGAATGAAGCAAATATTCAAGTCTTTCTTACAAATAATTTCTCAATCTGTTTTCAAACAATAAATACGAACAAAGGAATGAGATTACTCAAGACACAGAGAACGTTGAGATTTGTAGAGACAAAACTCCAAAAAGAAAATGAAAAACTCCTCCACTTTGACAACTGTTTCCTCAGTGTTTGCAGCCTGACCCAGTAACTTGTGACATATTAATCCAAACAGCTAGAGCAGCGGTTCTCAACCTGCCAACCTGCGGGTCAAGACCTCTTGGGGGGGGGGGGTCATATATTTAATATCTTGCACATCGGATCTTTCCATTCCAACTCCTAACAATAGGAAAATTACAGTTATGAAATAGCAACAAAAATAAATTTTTGGCTGGGGTCACCACAGCATGAGAAACTGTATTAAAGGGTCGCAGCCTTAGGAAGGTTGAGGACCACTGAGCTAGAGCCTCACTTTCAATGATCTATGGCAGCTTACTCAAATGGGCAGTCTCAAGAGAGATGGGCGGGCATGAAAACCTTACTACTTATACGATATTAGGAAGCCATTCGGGGGGCTGCTGGAGAGATGGTTCAGCAGTTAAGAGTACTAACTGTTCTTCCAGAGGATCTGGGTTCAATTCCTGGCATCCACATGGCAGCTAACAACTGTCTGTAACTCCAAGATCTGACACCCTCACACAGACATACATGTAGGCAAAACACCAATGCACATAAAGTAAAAATAAATAAATTTAAAAATAGAAGTCGGGCTGGAGAGATGGCTCAGAGATTAAGAGCACCGACTGCTCTTCCAGAGGTCCTGAGTTCAATTCCCAGCACCCACATGGTGGCTCACAACCATCTGTAATGAGATCTGGCACCCTCTTCTGTGTTCATAATAAATAAATAAATAAATAAATAAATAAATAAATAAATAAATAAATAAATAAATAAATAAATAAATCTTAAAAAAAAAAGAAGTCATTCTGGCCCCTCAGGTATGGACGCCCATCAAGTTACCCATAAGATGAGATAAAATAATCTCCCCCTTAACTTGTTATAAAAGATCCCCACCATCTCTCATATAATATGATTTGTGCTTACCAAATTGGCTGTGGATGTCAGAGAGTATATTTAATAAACTTTCTACTTTTACATTTCCTTTTTGGTAAATTTATTTACAGCCCATGTTTTGATGTCACTACAGAAGATATTCTGATGGCCCCAGATGGATAAATATTTAAGGATTGGGGCTGGGGAGATGGCTCAGTAAAGAGCATTTGACACTCTTCTAGAGTACTCAGGTTTGATTTCCAGAACCATGTGGTGGTTCACAGTTGTCCAGTGCCAGGAGATCTGATGCCCGATGCCCTATTCTGGCCTTCAAGGGCACCGAGCATGCAACTGGTGCCCAAACATACATGCAGGCAACCCCCCCCCCCACTGTCTTAGTTAGGGTTTCTATTGCTGTGAAGAGACACCATGACCACGGCAGCTCTTATAAAAGAAAATGTTTAATTGGGGTGGCTCGCTTATAGTTCAGAGGTTTAGTCCATTATAGTCATGGTGGGGAGCAAAGCAGCATGCAGGCAGACATGGTGCTGGAGAAGGAGCTGAGAGTTCTTACATCTTGATTCACAGGAGACAGGAAGTGGTCTGAGACACTGGGCATGGCTTAAGCATATATGAGACCTTAAAGCCCACCTCCATGATGACACGCTTCCTCCAACAAGGCCTTCCTACTTCAACAAAGCCACACCTCGTAATAGTGCCACTCCCTTTGGAGGCCATTTTCTTTCAAATTACCACACCCACACACAAAACATAATAAAATAAAAAATAAATAAAAATAAAAGTACCCAGCCTCCCCCTCAAAAGTACACCTCTTCCAACAGCCCCAACACACACACACACACACACACACACACACACACACACACACACACACACACACACAAAATCAATGGGGGAGTCCAATGTGTGTGGGCCAACTGCTCCCACATATGGAGCCTGCTCTGGAGTGTGATTGATATTCCCAGTGTCACTCCATTAAAGAAATACGATTTTTCCCTCTCCCAGCAACTATTAATTGCAAATAGCTTCTTTGCACAGGGTGATACTTTGTGACGACTTCCCCTTCTCTGTACTGGGATTTTTGTGTGGCTTGATTGAGCTCATGCAGTTGTTTTTTTTTTTTTTTTTTTTTTTTTTTCATTCAGGTTTTTTTGCAAGCTGTCACAGTCTCTCTGAGTTCCTATGTGCATCAGCCCTGTTGTGTCTGGAAAAACTGTTTCCTTGAAGTCACTGGCCACCTCTGGCTCTTACAGTCCCCCCACTGCCTCTTCTGTATAGATCTCTACCTTAATTACTTTTCTTTTCCTGTTCGATTCTTCAGCTGAGACATCTAAGAAAGATGATTTATTGTACATGAGTTGTACTTGGCCACAGGGTGAGAACAGAACTAGTTCGGAATGCCCCAGGCCCAGGGCAGAGGGCTAACAGGAACTGTGTAGTGGGTAGCTGTTCCAGCTTTGACCTGGAAGTACTACCCCCAGTGAGGCTTCCAGTAGCTGTCATGCCTACCTATGACCTGCCCCTAAGGTGGGGCCAAGAGGGGAGCCCTTAAGACCTGAGATCCAGATGTGCTAGCTCTCTTGGTTCCTGGTGATCCTGGATGCTGGATGGTAGACTGAGTGGAGTTCTCTAGAGAACCCAGCTGGACTGCACCTCACCTCTTCCAGATCCTGTAACCAATCGCTTTACTAGCTGTAAGTTAGCCCCCAAAATAAACTTCCTTAATAAATCCCCCAATATCTGGCACTCACATGCAGCAAACTCCAAATGCCTGAACTTATTGTATATACTAGTAAACTAATTAATTAAAATATCAGCCTTAGCAGAGGAATCCACATCCTCACATTTGATAATGGAGGAACAAGAGGTGTGGTTGCTCTTCAGACTCTGCGGAAGTTGGTTGAATTTACTCAGAAGCCAATTCATCAGCTCTTTGATTACATCAGCGGTGTTAGCACAGTGATAGAATGGAATCTGCACTAATGACTGAAACAGCGAGAGACCCAAAATGTCCTAAGTAGCTGCTGTAAGTACCGTAGTAAACAGAGGACTAACACCCAAAGCCTTTGTGTTCAGAAACTATGGTCATTTTCCTGGCATCAACTCTCACTATTTAGGAGGCTGTCAGGTTAAAATGAGGCAAGCCATTAGAGTCTCCTCAGCTGCTCCAGGCTGCTTTACAGAATACGTGCTGGGGAATGATCTTCATCAAGATGGAGGTTTGCTTCTGAATAACCCTTCAGCTCTGGCCATGCATGAGTGCAAATGTATCTGGCCCAATGCACCATTAGAGTGTATAGTATCCCTGGGCACAGGACGGTATGAGAGTGATGTGAGAAATACCTCAACATACACAAGCCTGAAGACCAAGCTCTCTAATGTTATCAGCAGTGCTACAGATATATAGGAATATATATATTTCCTTTTAATGCTGGATGGTCTCTTACCTCCTGATACATATTTTAGATTCAATCCTGTCATGTGTGAAAACATACCCCTAGATGAAAGTCAAAATGAAAAGCTGGACCAGCTGCAGCTGGAAGGGATGAAGTATATAGAAAGAAATGAACCAAAGATGAAAAAAAGTTGCAAAAATATTAAGTCAAGAAAAAACAACTCTTCAAAAGATCAATGATTGGATAAAATTAAAAACTGACATGTAAGAGGGCCTTCCATTCTTTTCAAAATTGTGAGAATTTTGAGGGTTTTTTTTAATGTATTTTACATGTATTCTCATAAGTGAAGCCTATCAGAAGACCCACCAAATTTAGTGAGAAAACATGAGTTTTCTGTGGGATACTGAATGAATGCTGGGAAATCCTGAAACAGATGATGCTTTGAACAGGTTGCACCTCACAGAAGATAGGTTTGGTTACAGAAGTCATGTGGGAATTAAGTATTTAAGATGTTCATAACCGTTAGGCATTTTATTACTGTGCTAATTGGTTTTAGTATCTATTGGTCTTAAATTGTTTGATGTTTGAAAATTTATTAATATATGTGCCAAACAAGAAATGGGAAGTCTTGTACTTTGTGCTTTGCTTTTAGTCGTCTAAATCATGTGGAATTTGTGTGACCATTGATTCTCTTTGTGTCAAAAGCTGATTTCTCTTGACATTCACACTACTCAGCATTTCACTAGGTGCACCTGCAATCCGTGTGTCCCCTTTCACTGTAATACCTTTCAAAGAGATGTGAAAATGGGATTTTCTGTGTTAAAGTACCTGTATGTCTGAAATAGGAAAGAACTGGATGCAGTTTTCTATTTAAAAAAAAAATAAGTAAATTTCCAGTGAACTAACTTTCCTATTGAGATTTCAAGATAATGTTCACTTTTCTAGAACGAATGCCATTTTATCATTCACTGGTACAGAATCAATTGTCTGATTTTACTGAGAAAATATTCTTATCATTAACAAAAATAAACTATTGAAGTGATCAGCTGTGTAAGGCTAAAAAAGAGAAAAAATATATCAGCCTTAGATAAATTGCACTGTTATGGATT